CTATCCAGTCACGAGATCTCTTAACCCTTTAGGGACGGCATGTTCACTGTATACATGTACTTAAAGGCTCTTCTTGCTGGACAGAGAGCTCCTTCACTATAAAGCTTTAAAAGGATAAAGCTTTCGGCGTTGATCAATCCCTGGGGGATGCGCCATGCATTCGACTTCAATTTTTAACTTCGTTTGACGTGATTGAATGCATATCTGGCCTTTACAATGACTCGCGATGGCCTCCCGGTAAATCGAGTCAGTGCTGCTTATCCCCCCAGACAAGTCTGAGACCTGGCTGGTACCAATTTACCGACCCCGGGATGACTTGGTGAGCCATGAGAGAGATCGAACCATCGACCTCGTGTGCGACGCAGAACACCTCTAACCACTGCGCCAGATGCGCTCTTATATCTCCTTCTCATATCTCCTATCTCTCTTATATCACCTTCACTATACTTTTGATAAACTTTCGATAGCTTGAAAAACGATGATTCTTAAAATATGGCTGCTTTCCCAAGAAACCTTCTTCGTGCCCCGCGGTATCGAAGAGAGATTGCGTTTCACACTCAAGTTATATATGCCATCAAAAGCACGGAACGGTATGTAGAAAAATATAGATCAACAAAGATACTAAAAAATCAAAACTTTCTCTTAAACTGGAGAAAAAACGTCAATCTAACAACGAAAATCACGCGTCCTTTGCAGGCCTCAAAGAGCGAAAAGTCAAAAATTCTAGTACATTTACCGCTTTTTTTTCGCAATGTTACGAAGTTTCAAACAAACTTTAGCGAAATTAGTAGCGAGCAAAAATACGACCTCAGAGGGGAGCCGAACCCGTGCTTCATCCATATCGGTGACGCGTGCTACCACTACACCACAGGGGCACATTTGCGCCACCACTCATTCTTCAACATCTCTATCTTAGATGTCATCCACTATGGCTCCAACAGTTATACCTAACAATGGCTATCAGCTCAACTGGCTTTATAAAGCGAAGTCCCATACCCGACCAAATCCGTTAATTGTTGGTGGCTGATAGCTAACATAGAGATGTTAAGAATGAGTGGTGGCGCAAATGTCTCTGCGGTGTAGTGGTAGCACGCGTCTCCGATATGGATGAAAAGCGGGTTCGACTCTCGTCTGAGGTCGTATTTTTGCTCACCGCTCAATTCGCTTAGGTTAAAAGTCACATCTAAGGGAATCTGTACTCTGGATGTTTGAGCAGATCTGATTGATTGCTTCAGCACTTTCATTCATTGAAAATCGACTCGATACTTCGCCTGAAGCTATCTAGGAGATTTCTCACTTAATTTTGGTCCTAAAAGAATCGAAAAAAATATAGAACCACTATACCGTTCCATCATGAAAAGCGACTTGTGAAAATGGAGCCATTTTCTTCGGGAACAAATTCTTTCGCTCCCACATTGTCGTCCTTCGATTGCCATCGAATTTGAATAGACCTCCTTTGGTTGCTACCTAAAACACATTTAGATCGTGAGATGGCTCGTAGATACCAGCCAAAAACACTAGTTAACACTTTCGATACGAACAGTGGTTTCGATTGTCGGGCGGTCCCGACGTATACCTAAAGAGCTCTTCTACTCTCTTCCGAGTTGTTTATTTCGCCTTTTCCGCTCATGGCTTCTCTAACAGAAATTTGAAGCTCCTGGTTTGTAAACGTGAATCTTTCCGGATTTTTATTGAGGGTCGTGCCGATACCCCTTAGCCGTCCGCACAGCGCGACGGACACGAGTTAACCGTATTCGCTACACGTAGTAGGGAAAGGGTCAAGAGAAATAAAACAACTGGAAACGAAAACAAGAAATATATATATATATACCTCACCCAGACATTGCCTTCGGAATCATGACAAACACTGTACGGGACAGTGGCTCCACGTGGGGTCAAATGCAACCACATTTCGTCAAAACGCTGAACGTCCGACGTATCCGATTTCTGCTCAACCATCTCTTCCCTGTGATCTGCCACTGAAAGCTCCATCTTTTAAGGGGAGCGCACACCCTACAGTGAATCAACAACACACGGAAACAAGCTTCTCTAGTAACTTGGCGACTCCATTTCGTAATAATCTCGAAGGAAACACTCGAGAATCGTTCTCAAAAACCCTACATAGTTTTTTGAGACTTAAAAAATAGACAATAATAAGAAGGTAAAGACCACAAAATCAAAAAAAAGAGTGATAAACGAGAAAAAAATCAAGAAACTGCTGAAAGTAGGCCATCAACTAACAGTTTTGAGGCTTAGACAACCTTATACTTACTTAGTTCTTAGCACTTGGACGGCCCGTCTTCACAAACTGTGCGGACCACAGCTCAAGGAAACTGTCTTAGCTTAACTGCTTTACTCCTTGGAGTTCCAAAGTAAGCCCAGCCGGGGCTACCTCAGGCCTTCACACATTGGAGCAGTCGCCGGCTCTTGTAGATCAAAGGGAATTATCACCTAGCGACTAACAGCTGCCAAGACGGCGGGTCATTCCTGGTAGAGTTAAATCTTAGCTGGATTTCCAAATGAAAACATCGGACTCCTTCTCAACTAGGGTAGCCCTCCCGTGGGCTTGAACTCCCTCGCTTGCCTCGTGGTCCGACACCCAGGAACAACTCCCAGCCACTATGAGGCGGTAAACCATTTGGGAGGTGACCATTTGACAGACGAGACATTCGGACAATGTTGTTCATAAAACAGTGACAAGTTGAGCACTGCGAAAATTTCACATATCAGAGATCTCATCAAGAACTGTGGGCTGTACGGCGCAATGATAAAGGATAAAAGGTTCTCTCTGACTATAGGGGAACAAATGAAAAACCGATCTCACTCGCTGGAGAGGAAATTTTGATAGGAGTGTTAGTAGCCATTCGATAGCTGAGACTTCAGGCCACAACCGCACAAGGCCAATTTTTTCAAAAAAATAACCCTTATAACGATCTCCACACAAAATGTACCTCCGGCGCGCATATTTCTCGCTGAACAGAGTTCTTTCTTTGGACTATCAGTAATCATTCGATAGCTGATTGTTTCTGACTCTAACGCTGTGCTTATATCCTGAAAAGACCGTTTCTCTAAAACGCAGCAGGTAGAATAAGTTGGATTCCTATCCGCTATCATGAGGGACCTTGGCCAATTCACGTGCGGCTGGCTGAGGTCGTCACGTGACCGGTGCGAGGCCTATCGGTTAGCTCAGCCAGGCGCACGTGAATTGGCCAAGGTCCGTCATGATAGCAGATGGGAATTCAACTTATTCTACCTGTTGCGTTTCAAAGAGACGCTCTTTTCAGGATATAGGCACAGCGTTGGAATCAGAAATTATTACGCTATCGAATGATTACTAATAATCCAGAGAAAGAGCTCTGTTCGGTGAGTAATATCAAGGACTTTCCTTCTGCAGCAGCGTCAAAAAAAGGCTTGTTCGAAAACCAGCGACGTGAAGCTGTAGCCTGAAGTCTCAGCTTTCGAATGGCTACTAACACTCCTATAGAAGGTTCCTTTCCAGTGTACGAAAATGATCAGAAAGAACCGATGAAGTTCTCGGTGTTGATCAATCCTGATGGATGCGCCATACATTCGTCCTCAACTTTTAATTTCGCTTGAGAGGACTGGATGCATATGTGGCCTTTACAATGGCTCGCGATGGCCTCCCGCTGTATCAAGTCAGAGCTGCTTGTCCTCGCAGGCAAGTCCGCGACCAGTCCCATACCAATTCATCGACCCCGAAGAGATAGATGGCCTGGTGCCATGAGCGTGGGATCGAACCACTGACTTTGACAGCGGCGCCGAGCACCCTTTAACCACTGCGCGACATGCGCTCTTACCGCACGCTGATAAGGCGACGAGATGATAAAATAATGGGGTGGATAACGTAGGATAAGGAACAATGATAACAATAGTAGAATATCGCAGAATATTGAGTGGTGCGCAAAAATTCGACCTCAGGCACGATCGAACCCGCGTTTCACTCTCAATGCGTGTTACTAAGGAAGGTATTGATCTGCTGCCACTGTTTCTGCGATATATCCAATCGTAGATGTCAACAACCAACTCCTGGCGGCATGTCGACATCAAATTCAGTGACACACGTGATAGAATAATAAAATAACGACAACTAATAAAAATAAATAAACAAGAAGTCGATATGGGATTGTTGTTGGCAAAGAGAGCCGCTCAAAACCAGTCATTGGGTTTCCCAAGATAGTCAAGCGAAGCAAAATGAATCAATTCGGCGTCGAGTCTTGGCCGATAACCCACCAGAACAGAGATCAAAGGTCACGAGAAATCAAAGGTCAACAGAAATGCCTTTGAAGCTTACAGAGACAGACATTTAGACGCAATTGCGGACCATGCTCGGCGGCCACACGACGGAGGTTTTGTGGTCGTCTCAAGCTGCTCGGAGGGGTCAGTTGGAGAAATCGGCTCTTGTGGAGAGTTGTGGTCCCCTCAGTCTTCAGACTACTTTTCAAAGTGATATATTTGAGTGAGAAATTGCGAGAGCATAGGGCTTAGGCCTAGGCTTGGACAAAGACCTAGACTTAGGCTTGGCTTGAACATAGGCCTAGGCTTAGGCTTGGGCTAGGGTTTAAGCTTATGCTTCGACTTGTGCTTAGGCTTAAGCTTAGGAGTAGGCTCAGGCTTCGACCCAGGCTTACTCTTATGCTTAAGGTTAGGGGTAGGCTCAGGCTTCGACTTCGGCTTCGGCTTGGGCTTAGGCTTAGGGTTAGGCTTGAAGATTTAATGGGACCACAAGTCTCCAATGGCGTTAAGAATCGCTATGCAACCAGAAGTCGATTTTGTCTCGATCTTTGGTCTTCACTCGTCACTGAATAGCCGAATTGGCAGCGATTCGACGTAGGGTGTCGATTGTAGTTCGTTCGGGAACTGTAGTAAGATACGATAGTACCTAAGAGGAGGATTGACCCGAGAAGGTGTTGCTGAGGCCCAATGGAAGGTTCATGTCCCTCTTAGATGATGGGACAAGTCGTGTACCACTTTGGACGAGAGCACCGGTAGCGCAGTGATTAGCGCTCGCCCTCGGAAAGGGTAGGATTCGGGTTCGACTCCCGTCTGCGGCACAATGTTCTAAATATCACTCAGTGTGCTAGGAAATGTCCAATCTGTCATTGAGACGTCTAAGGTTTTTTTTTGTCCTTCACAAACGAATACAAAAGAAGTCCTCTACCTCTGATTTTCGTAGACTCTTCTGGATTAATCAGCTTACTAATCAGTAGATCAGCATATCGCCTAGGTAAGTTTCTATCAATCCCTCCTCTCCACGCTTGATATCGATGCATATCGATCGATTTATCTTCGTTCCATGGCGATTAATCGATCAATCGGTCGCCGTCCGTTCGTTCGTTGACTCATACGAGGGGTGGGTTATGACTATCGTCGTATTCAGTGCTGACCTTCACTGACTTGAGCGTGTATGTTTTCATGCTTGCTTTGGCCAGGAATCGTAGTTTGGCCGTCAAACTAGTAAAATTACCAGTTGATTCGTACCAGTTACTCACCAAATATTATGTATATTTGGTTCTTATTCCTCTTAGATTTCGTTCAATTTAGCGACTGCCGACCGAATTTTGTCATTCCTTGTTCAACACCGCTCTCGTTCTCTACCAGTAGAGCGTTAGAGTAAAGTTATCGAATGAGATTTGTTTTTCGGAAGAAATCTTCTAATTTTTCGTTTTCATAGCAGTGTTACGATATTATGCCTCTACATCCAGAAATGTTAGGTGACATGGAAGGTTTTGAACCTCGGGCGGGAGTTGAACCCGCGTCTCACCCTTTACGGGAACCCGTGCTAAACACTGCACTACCGGAGCTTTTACTCTACTAGCACTAATGCCTTAGGTAAAGGAGAGACGCGGCTTCAATTATCTTCCTGTTTGGACCACTAAAAGCCTCGGTCATTGTAGGATTGGTTAAATTTCAATGCAATGAATCTCATATCTTCAATCGAGTAATTCGATTCGTTGCTTAAAATTCAGCTGTAGTCTGATAGAATGCTTCAAGCTTTTCACAGATTTGGTACATAGGATTTTTGTGATGGACGTGGGTTTCGGCTTCCTCGGAAATTTCATCACTACCACATGGCTTTCGGTTCCCCGCTCCAACTAATGGTAGCGGCGCCGAACGTGTATCACTGCACGTCAAGTGATCGCGTCATGTTGCGGTCACAAGTGATTATCAGTCGATGGCTTACGGCTGGTAAAAGCGCATATAGCAATGCCTTCCAATCGACTGTCTTGTGACTTCACTTAAAATTTAATAAGGTCTGATAGAATATTGCGTTTTTTGTCAGCCGTGAACCATCGACTAAGAATCGGCCATGAATCACTTTAAACCGTAACATCAAATGGTCCTTTCACTTGACACGGCGTGTTACATGTTCGGCACCGCTACCATTAGTTGCACGGGTGAACCGAGAGGCGCGTGTGACACTGTTGAGGCGTGCGAGAAAGCTCTAAAGGCACATCTATCACTGGAAATGCCATATACCAGACCTCTGGAAGACTTCGAACATTCTCTCAGATTATACTATATTCCGTATCTGTAGGAAAAGCGTGATTAATCAGAAAATCTTCCATAATTATATTCAATCGAATATTTAGCACATTGGGTACCATGCGAAGCTATAGTGTTCATAGAGGCGAGAATCAACTCCTTATTTGAACCATTTTCAAAAGCTCTTTGAGCATTTTCAAGCATTTTTTTCAATTTTTACTGTAAAGAATAAAACGACGACTTCAAAAAAAAAAAAAATTCGGCACATTGTAGTTGGTTAATTATTCGCCAGCGTGTTGAGCCTTCGTTCTCCATGCTCACATTTTCATGGTACAGTAATCGAGACTCTTTTGAACAATCATGGGTTCAGTGATATTTACGCTTGATGAAACGTGTAAGATGTTTGACGTCGCTCACTCTTAGTATAGGGTTGAGTTCCCTCGAGAGGATTGGCAAAAGACGAAAGGTACCGCCAGACTGATGAGACTGTCAAGGTCGAAACACGTGTATCGAGCTCTATAGGATGCCTTATAACAGGCCACATGCGTCTCAACAAATGAATATAAGGCAAACTGAAATTTTGAACGTGGTCTTAAGAAAGCTCTCGAAATAAGATTTTTGGTTCTTTCTGATTAGGGAGGGAGCAAATGAAGAACCGATCTTATTCGCTGGAGAGGAAGTTCTCATAGGAGTGTTAGTGACCCTTCGAAAGCTGAGACTTGAGCTTACAGCCCACACCGTCAGTTTTTCAAAATACCCCTTTATAACGCGGTAACATTTAAAATGAATACGTGTTTCATGAAATTACGTATTTTTTCTCTTATATCGCTTATATTTCTCTGAACAAAATTTCTATCTTAGAGTGCTAGTACTTAACTATAGCACAAATTCAAGGGATCAAAAATATGTTTGCTTCTTGAAAAGCTCTTTCGATCTTCTTATGTTCCTTGGTCTTTTGTTTTGTGCTCTAAACCTCGCCGGCCAGAGCTCTTTCTTTAGACTGTTAGTAATCATCTGATAGCGTAACATTTCCTGATTCTAGCGATGTGCTTATTTTCTGGAAATACGGTTTAGCAGGGATAAAAGATAGATTTTTACATTTTTGACAGCGTTGTTCACCAGCTATTCGATAGATGGCCGTGAGAGGGGGATCACAGGGGCGGGGCGAGGCGGGACGATTGATATATTGTTATTCAATTGGGAATTTTTCTTCCGCTTCGAAAGAAACTTCAGATAAAACGATTTACTAAGGTACTACGAAAATTTCTCAACACATTGATATACTTTTCCGCTTTCAGCGAATTAACGCCAGATAAAAATGGAGGCGAAAGGCGAGTGTGAATCATAATTATTTATCTGGATGCTACAGCGTTATAAAGGGGTGTTTTGGAAAACCAGCGGCATGGAGCTGTGGCCTCAAATCTCAGCTTACGAACGGTTGCTAACACTACTGTGCAAAGTTCCTCTCCAGCAAATAAGATCGGTTTTTTATTTGCTCCCTCATAATCAGAAAGAACCCAATTTTTAATTCCTTTGAACCCTTTTGAAGCTCTTGTTCCATTTTTGAGCTGAACAATAGGGCGATAATCTCATGAATTTTGTTCGATCTGCCAAAACTTGTTATTGATAACTAAATCGATATTGATTTGAGAGAGATGATCAGCCACGTTGTGATTAATTGTTTGTCGAAGGGTTAATTGTTGGAAAAAACCTAAATTTCACCAATTTTCGAATTGTGCATATTATTTTCAAGTATTTTCAGTAGTCCTTCTTCAGAAAGAATTGGTTAGTGAATAAGTAAATCTAAAATACTTCAACTGTGAAAATGAATGTTCTTAGAGAGGAAACTCATAAGGTCTCAATAGTTATGCGAAAGAGATATAGTTGAGATAGTGCTGAAATTCCAAATTATGTAAAAAAGAATGCAAGGACATAAATCTAAGCAAATGCGTTTCAAGGATTACAACTTATATTATATCGTAATGATTTTAACATCAGAAAGTATTGAATAGTATGCATAACATTCGGTCTCACTCTGGAGCTGAACCCGCGTTTCTGCTATCCTGGGGCGCGTGCTATCCCTACGCTATCGGTGCCATCGCTTTCCTACCACTCTTTCTTTGATTTTTTTACATAGCTGTCACCAACCAACCTCTAACGGGTTTGAGCGGGTAAGCATATACGGCATCGTACCCTCTACACCGACAGCTGTTCGAAATGCACTAGGTTGGAGAGAAAATGAACATCGTTTGATAAAACATTCAAAATTTATGCATATATTCAGCCAACAAACAATAGCAACTATTCTTCAAAATGCAGGTCATCATTATCCACAACTTTTTGCCATCGGTCCGCCAGGCTTCGAATCTGATCGAAGTACCACTTCTTCGGCTTTGAATCAAACATTCTTGACATGCTTCTTCAGCTTCTTCCAAAAGATTCAAATCGGCGACCTTCCAAAAAAATCTTGCATTGATCGGAAAAGGCTGTAATCAAGTGAGCAACGTCCGGGCTATAGAGTGGATACTTAGAATCTCAACTCCGTCCAGTCCCTAAAACTTTGCCTTGGTCTTTTGGCTGTGCGTGGTTTTACGTTGTCTTGCTGATACAAAGCGCGCTTTTGTCGTAAAGCATCAACAAACGTTTTTGTTCCCTGGACAATTCCATTCTGCAGCAGATATAACCAAATTATATATCAATAGATGCGCAAGAAGTAGACCTTTCGAATGATATGGAAATAGCACTCGATTCATGCGAAAAAACAACATTCCCATTCAAACGATGGAGATTTTCTTTCCAACCCAATAAATTGTAACTGAATTCTTTACTTCACTATTTTTAGCATTGTAATGATGTTAATCGGTTTTCACCCGACTAAACCGTTCAAGTTGGTTGCTTACAGCTAGGATAGGATGTGGCGAAGAGTGGTAGCAAAGTGGTGGCCTTGATAACAGCACACTCCCTGGATTGAGTGAAACGCGGATTCATTTCCTACGTGACGTCAAATGTTTTGTATAGCACTCAAGACTCTTAGATATACATTTATGACATCATAACACTGTTAAAATGTAGTAAAACAAAAGTCAAATAGATTACGATACTAACAGATGTAAATTGTCAACGACACTATCGCTCTAGTTTTCAACGATTTCTCGGACTCTTAGGATAAATGAATATTTGAGCCCATCCGCTGAACAAAATTCTTTTCATAAGCACCGCTGAGACACCTCACACGTGAAGTACGATTCTTGTAAATCAATTAAGGATTTTTCTCCTCTTTGAAGGAAACTCCACATCAAACATATGACTCTGATACTACAAAATTTCCTCTACACGTACGTATGCGTTATGTGCTTTCAGCGAATTCTATGCGTGATAAAAATGAAGGTGCGCGACGAGTGTGAAACACAGTTTTATTTTGTATGCTACAGCGTTGTAAAAAACTCTCCGAAAAACCGACATGTATAGCCCTGGCCAAGGATTCAAGCTTCACATCATTACTAACAATCTTATGAAAAGTTCTTCTTAAGCGGATGATGTCATAGTAGTATTTATCTGTTTTCGAACAATCGAGAAGAAACCGTTTTCACGTTTGTGGTGTGCTTAGTCCGCTTCTCGTTGCCTGGTGTGGACCTTGAATTCCGTATTTTTTGTGTTTTTGCTTTCAAAGTCACTATCTTACGTTTGCTGTTAGCTTATTTTAACGCTGTTCGAGACTTAAGAGGAATTTTGAACAATTATACGAAATAATAGCTGCATAGAGCCCTCCATCTATATTAGAAATATACACAAGCTTGTTTTCAGCCTTAATTGCTAAGTTCCGAACTCTGTGCCACTGAACTGGTGACGAAGGGGTTTGATTCAATGACGGCCTATGGTCACTCAGCTGGTGAATCTATTGAGTGTCTCAGCATAGCCATTCAATTGCGAAAAGAAGAAAGTGAGTGGAAATTTCGCTGAAATCAATGATATTTCATCAATTACTGGAACGACTTAAATGATTATGGTCATTTTCTTACCTAGGTTCCTCCCTGACTACCATCTATACTAGTTGATATCATTGTTACTTGGCTTGAATTTCATACAAGAGCCAAGCAGTGCACCTGGGCAGACGTTCATCAATATACCGCGTGGACATACCGAGAGAGTAATCCCATATGTGAAAGTGTGTCTAGATGTTAGAAGATCATCTCCACGTCGAAGTTTTTTGAGATGAGAAAGAGCTTGACGTTTTAGTTACTAGGCCAACTCCGACCAATCTTATTCCACAGCAAAGCTTGACGCGGTGACTGTGGTTACGTCAATGACGAACAAATCA